AATAATTAAACAAAAGTTGTTATGGACCAGTAATTTTCTTAATTAGATTATTTTCTATTTTAAAAGATAGTTGAATACGTATGTTACCATTAAAAAAAAACTTTAACAAGGGTAGATCACCGATTTTCATAAAATTTAGATAGATCTAACCTATATTGAATACAGAAACAGACGTATTTGGAATTTTTTGCCAATGCCACCCCTAAGTCGAGAAAATTGATTTTGAACATTTTTAATTAGCTTAAATAGGGACATTTTCTTCCTAAAACAACTTGTGTTATGGTTAATATTACAATATATGATGTATTTCTATAACTGTCCTTACAGCTTCCAATTCTTCTCTCCTCATAACATGACTAAATCATCTAAGTCTATTTTCTCTCATATTATCCACGATTGACGCTACACTTATACTCTCTCTTATATGATCGTTCCTTATTCTATCTTTTCTAGTCACTCCACTCATCCAACAAAGCATTTTCATCTCTGCTACACTCATTCTCTGCTCTACTTTCTTATCAACCGCTCAACACTCTGAACCATACATCATAGCTGGTCTCACTACATTTGTTCGGTCGTGACGAAACAGTTTGGTGGGTGAGCGCCGATTTTTTATTCTCTTCAACAAGAGCGCGACCTGTCACAACTGGTTTACTTGTTGGGGTAGTGTGTGGCGGTGGTCGCGAAGGTGTCATTCGCGTATCGGCATGCCTAGAGTGGTTTTGTGTATCACGGACTCTAGTGCGTTATTTTGTTGATTTTGTTTTCTTTGACGGTTTTATGTGTTCAATTCACTCTGTTGATTGCGTCGGGCTCAACTGCTTTACTTGACACATTCACTATCTCCTTTTGGGTACAGAAAGCAAGGTCTATACATTTTCTGTTTGTTAAAATATTAATTACAAAAAATTTATGTTGTTGTATTTTAGTATATTAGTTTTAAATATAAGTACTAACAATAGATTTAAGATAAACCATTGTTGTTACTGTATTAGAGAATACATATTAAATTAGATAAAAATATTACAGTCCATTAAAAACGTTTTCTTTTAATTTTATCTAAAGGAATCTTTAGACGTGATTTCACTCGGCGATTGGTCGTCCGATTATTTCGCGTCGCACAACATTGTTGTAGAATTTACCTTTTAGCCTCACTGGAATTCTTATACCGCATAAGACACTAGACGCTTCTCTCAACTTCAACCACCCGCACTTAATCCTGTGTCTTACATTCTCGTCAATACCACCGCTCTTTTGCACTACTGATCCTGAATACTTAAAACTTTCTACCTCCCCATTTACACTCTCGCCAATTGTCACTGATCTCCTCAATTCACCTACCTCATGTTCTCTTTTGTCAACCCAGCCAGAATTTCTGGTAATGATAAAATTAATTGTCATAAAGTGTCTAAAATTGGTCTTGTTCTAGTAAACTCAATGGTGGATAATAACTTTCATGATATAAATCTTAAAAGGTCAAATAAAGTTATAACTGTATCTTCAATATCTTCTATTATTAAAATTAATAATGAAATAATTAAAGTAAACCCATTGCTACTATTTCAACTAATCTCTTTTTAAAAAAAAACCAGCAGCGTCCCGGCACAGTGTGTACAGTGGGTGCAGAATAGATGATATGACACAGTGACTAAAATCATTATCAAACAACAACGCCTTGATGCAAATCTGTAGATAGTGTTTAATTTTAAAATTTTAATGGTTTATTACAAAAGCTATATGATCTCCTTATTTATATCCTAAATACAAGTTATATGCATTACTAGTGCAAAGTATGTAATCGATGAAGGATTTCTCCACTATAAAGTTATTTGACAAATGTATCAAACAAAACTTTTTTCCATTTTCTTATTCATTTTCCCATTCTAAATTTTGATAGAATATATCTTCAACAAAAGTACAATTTTCTTAATCTTCAATCTTTATTTCTATTGAATTTGTACGCCATTGACCTTTGCAATGTTCACATATAATAGAACATTAAAGTCCTGTTTTTCGGCAGCCACAATTTTTACCAGCTCCAGCACCTGAATAAAGGACGTTTTATGACAATTATCTTTATTATTAGCAGAAAATCCGGTGGCAATTGACATAATATAATTGTTGTTTGGGAATGTACAATTTAACGTTTAGTTGGGTTTAAACAATATAGCGTCAAATCAATTACCTACTCTATCTGTTGTATATTAATATACACTACACTTTTATGATACAATAAATAAATAAACTCACACATATGCATTTATAACATTGTGTCTAATGTAAGTATATCATGATAAAAAGTAACCGTAAAATGAAAAAAATTGGAAAATAAATTTTAGTACTCATATTAAATGTGATGTAACTCGAAAAATATTTGTTTAAATGAAAAAATATAAGATAGCTTTTTTATTTAAAATTATTTTTTAAACAACTTTTGTACGAAACTTTTTTTTGTAAATCAAATATTTTTTGAGAAAATTAAAAAAGTTCATATTTTTTAAATTTTGCGAGTCTGTAAAAAAAAAAAGCTCAAGTCCAATCGATGAGGACTTTTAGTATGTCATTATACATACCTTAATTCAACTTAAAAAAAAAAAAAATTTGGTTGGGAATTTTTTCCGTCATTCGCCAAATTTACTCCTTCGTTAACCTAATATGAATCTTTTTCTAGGTGATATAAATTTAAAAATTCAATAATAAGTCATGATAATATTATTTACACTAAAACTATTTTAAAATAATTTAAAAAGTGATTTAACAAAATATATTTTTAAGAATTCAAAAAAAAAAAAAATGAATTATTGTTCAATTCTAATAAAAACAGCAGGTATATCAAGTGTATGTTTAACAAAAATTTTTACATAATACACAGTCAAAATATAGAATACCTTTATTTAAATTACAATTTATATTTTTTAGTTGATATCATATTTTATTAATAAAATGAATTCCATTCTAAACTTTTAAAATTACATTACTTATAATTTAATTTTTATTCTGACCGAATATAATGACAAATTTGCAAAAATAAAAGTTTTAATAAAAAATATTATAACAAACACTAACAGTATTTCTGAATAATAAACATAATCTTGTAATAAATAATGATCCATAGTTTTACATCCACGTTCACGATTATTTGAAATATTTAAAAAATATGAAGAGTTTATAAACATCTAGATATTTTTTTGATTTTACTATTCTGGGGATTTTTTGTGTATCACTGGACACAAATACTCCATTTCAAATGAACCAAATTTTTTCTACAAAATGTCAACAAATTACAAAACTTATTTAGTTAAAGCAACCAGGGCCATTCTTTCGAAAATTTCTCTTCTATACCATTAATAAAGGAAAATATCCCAAAAAAATTGTTAAATAACACTCAATGTTGATATTTTTACTATTCAATAATTATTGAAATAATTTTCCGAAAACTGGGAGGATAATTGGGAAAATTATTTGATAAATTTTCAGACAAGTTACACATTAATATTTAATAAATTTTTTTAGAGCCAATATTAAATAATGTTACTATTGATTTCAACATTTTTGGAAAACTATCAATTTAAAATCATTTTCTTTATTAACTATACAATAAATCTAAATTTTCATTACTGGTTTTTATTAACAAAGTTAATAGAAAACAAAGTTATAGAAATATAAAGTAAAATATAAAATCGAGAATTTTAGCACAAAAATAGCATATGGTAGTCATTTTCACCGTGATGACAAAATGAAGTCCGACATTTTCTTCTTTTCCATAATAAAGTATATTACATTAGCTTTAATTTAAGGTATATATAAAAGTTTTAGTATTTCCGGAACACTTTCAAAAGTTATGTTGAAAAAGTTGTCATTTTGAATCTCCTACTGTGGTTGGTAAAGGGTCAGATTTAGAATAAAAGTATATAAAATGATAGTTTTCATCTATCTATCTAGCGTATCTATCTAAAAAAACTATATTGATTTGGTCATTTTTTAAAAAGTTATGGCAGTTTTAATAAAATAAAAATGTCGAAAATTAGCGATTTTTAAATTTGTAATTTGTTTGGAGACTTCCTCCATTTATGGGGAAAGAGGGAATGTTTTTCAATTTTTGACGATAATGTCTTCGATAAGATACGATTTATGATCTTTTGACGTATTGTTGAATGAAATCGGTTCAGCGAGAGCTAAGAAAAAGTGGTAAAAGACACAAAACAAAAAACACATCATAGTATAATTAATACCTTCTCAGTTTCGCATTGAAGCTAATGTGAGTTCCATTAAAAGGACAAATTTATATATAAATCCTTGACTGACTAATGGAAAAAGACGACTAATTATTTATTTATTAGAGTTTTAGTTCAAACATGAATTTATAAAAACTTGGAGATAATATCGCAAAGTGTTATTTACCTAATTATTTGATATCAAAAAAAATAAAAATACTTTAGTTATACCTTAGTTTAGCGGGAGAAATATATTTATAATGAATAATATTTAGAGATAATATAGATAATGAATTAAACTTCGATAGTAATTATTTTATAAAACCATTTAACAAAGAAAAATTTGAATATTATTACATATAAAATTATATATAATAATGTTATGTTTTATTCAACACATCTTATGTATAGTATTTTCAAAAAGGTTTATTGCTAAGTGGTTTAGTAATTATTTACTACTTTGCAATAATAATAATTATCTCGAAATTATTCATTAAGATATTTTTCTACGTTGATGAAACCCCATTAAATAATAAGATTTTATAAATATTATAAGATATAATTGATCTATCATTTTAAATTTCACCAAATTTTATTATTTTTAGAAAAATATTGTTTTTGTATAATTTATGTGTACGCTCAACATATGAGGTAAAACAGCAAATACATATTTATTTTTTATAATATATTACTATGAAAAAATAGCATTATTTGATCTAAAAAGCGTATGAAAAAGATTGATTATGTTGAATATTACAAAACAATTTTAATTTTTGTAATGGTCTTATTTTAACAATAAAATGTCAATAAGAAAATAGTATTTAATAATTAAATTTTGTAGAGTAATTCAAGATTTATTTTATTTAAAATTTATTTGAAATAATATTATTTAGTTTCAACATTTTGCCCCAATTTTTGTAATATGACTTATCAAATCAGCAAAATATTTATCATTTTATGCGGCTTAATTTCATTAATGGCTTCTCCTTCAAAAAAAGAAAACAACGAAGAAGCTAGTCCATCAACGGTAATTTTATTTCTATTTTATTAATATACATAAATTTCAATTTAATGCATTGAAACTAATAATATCATGTAATGAAATTTATGAAATATAATAATTTAAAATTTGTATTAATTAAATTATATAATTGAATCATATTTCGAATTTTTTTTTCATTCACTTATTACGCTATGCAACGTAAATATATTGATTACGTAGTAGCTAAACAAATGTTAATTTCTATATTTCCTGTTAAAAGTATTGTTACCGAAACGGACATTGTACATCAAATTTATTGATAGCTAAAAAAGACAATTGAAGCTATTTCAAAAATTCAAAATCGTTTTTCTTAACTTAGGTGAGGCAAAATATTAAAAATAATTTCATAATTATATTCAATGTAATTTAAATTCACGTAACTTTTATAAAATTCGTTGGCCTTATTACTATAGCAAATCCTTGTAAGGTATATATAAAAAAAAATTGAACACAAAAATAGCAAGTTTTTAACTACGGCAGCCATTTTCACATAGAAAATAAGTTATCGGGACAAAGTTCTTTTTTTAATTTATATTACGTAACACAAGCTTTTATTTAACAAATATATAATACATGCAGAATTTTCGGACCATTTTCAAAAGTTAATTTTTGTGCAAAAGTTGTCATTTTAAATCCCCCCCCTGTGTGCAAGCTTATCAGGTTTTCAAAAATATTATATCAGTTAAAAGGAAAATACCTAAGGAATTTTTATAAAAAAAAAAAAATTTTAATTTGTTGATTTTTAAAGAAAATATGGCAGTTTTTAGAAAAAAATGTTTAAAAAAAGTCAAAATTTATCGTTTACACATTTTTTTCAATTTTTAATGTCAATCACTTTAATTAGATAATTTATGTGATTTTTTTACGTACGTTGAAAGAAATTAGTCTGGTGAGAACTGAGAAAAATTGTCAACAGACATAAAAAATACACACATCATAGTAAAATTAATACCTTCATAGCTTCACATTAAAGCTAATATTAATTATAAACAAAAAAAAAAGAAAATTAGACAAATATCTATTTAGACAAAAATTACGCTACAGTAAATAATTTTTATAGACATTTGACATAAAAGAAATAATTAATTTATAATTTCTTTTATGTTTCTGCAAAAATTACATTAAATTATTGATTATCTATTGCATATTAAATTTAATTACTATGATTCGCATTTAATCATATATTATATTTATAATGAGGGACGGTGTGGCAGATTTGTTAACGCGGCAGTGCTTCGAGTTCGAAACTACATCACGGGCGGCTTCATTTGCTGAACAGGAGATAAGTTCAGTAATTGGAGTCGCCACTCTCTCTATCCAGGCGACGGACTAACCATCCGTCCTAGACTACAATCGTTATGAAAACTCATAAATTGAAAAAAATCCCCTTTATGAAAAAAAAAAGTTGCTTGATCAGCTTTCTCCATACACAAAATTAAAATCATTATCTTTAAAATTTTTAAAGTATTCATTGTCGATTTAGATTTGATATGATAATAAATTTCAACTACAAAATTAAATAATTGTACTTTGTAATATATTAATTTTTTAACTTTATTTGTGTGTGTTACTAATACTCTGTAATATTCCAAATTTGTTGGTAACATGTTGCTATATAAATCATAATACAAAAAAAAATTATTTTTAGTTTCACCTGAATTTAACAAAAAAATTTTACAATTACAATAAAATTTTATAATACACTCAATTAAGTAGATATTTTTAACAAAATTTAGATTGGTTATTTTAGTTCAAGCAAATCATTAAAATTAATGAAGTTCTCAATATTACAATTGAATCTTTTAAGCACCAAAAGTTACTTAGAAGTGATTACTATGATTTCTGTTGAAGTATTCTATTACAATAAAAATGCAAAAAAGATATTGAGCTTTTCTAATATATTTAGTGTACATAGTAATTATAAAATTTGCAGACTGCATATTAATCTTAATTATACCATTTTTTTAATTTTCATAAAATTTTCTGCTTAATAATGGCAATTTCAAGCTTGTCAGTAAAGCTAAAAATCATGGTAAAAACTTTTAGCTTTCTTTATATTTTAATACTTGTTTTTAGCTATTTAGTAATTATATCAAAATTATTTAGTGATGGAAAAAATCTTATTCCAGATTTGAAATCAACGCGAAAAATGGGTTTAAAAATTTATATTTTTGACTCTGATAAAAATTCCTCGAACACCATTTTTTTATAATTAAGTAGAAATGTAAAGTTTTGTATCAAGCCCTTCAATTTTTATACGGGTTTGCCAAAAAAGTAACAACTACTTTATAATTTCTTTGTAAAAGTTACTATACTAAATTATTAAATATCATTTTATACTACGTTCAATTACTATAATAGATAATTATTCATATATTATACTTATAAATCACAGAACTGCCAATTAGGAATAATAAAAAAATAGGAGTTAATATTGTTTTTGGAATAATCCACCAATTTTTAAAATTGAACACTATCTACAGATTGGCATCAAAGCGTTTCTTATGATAGTAGTTTTAATCACTGTCAGTTATCATCTATACTTATTATAACTATCCCACGTCCATACTGTGCCACGACCTTACTGTGCTACCAAATTTACTTTAAACAATTTTTGCAATTTTATACTTATGTTAAATCATTTTTTTTATTGTTTATTTCTAATAAGGACTTGTGTATGTGTACTACTTTCGTTTTACATGCCTCTTCTATTTATTAAAATGCTTGCAATTCAAAAAGTATTTAACCTAAAGGTTTTATAAACTCATTAAAAATTGTAATAAAACTAGGTTAAAAATTTACTACTTCGATTTCAAATAAATTAAATATTCCAAAATAATTTTTTTCTTCTTATATTATAAACATATAATTAAAACGGTAGCACAGTGGGGTCGCGGCATATTGGAGACATTACATAGTTAGTTCCAGTATAGATTTAATCTGAAAGTGATTAAAATCACTATCATAAGAAACGCTTCGATGCAAATCTGTAGATAGTGTTTAATTTAAAAAAATTGATGGATAATTGCAAAAGCAACATCAACTTCTATTAAAATAAAATACAAAACCCATAATTATCATACAAAAATAGTATATTTTTCAATATGGTAGCCATTTGCGTATAGAAGATAGATCGTCGGGACAAATTTTTTTTTTTCATTTTGTAGTACATAAAATAAGCTTTAATTTTATATATGTTTAAAGGACGCAGTATTTCCGGAACATTTTCAAAAATTAAGTTGAAAAAGTTATTTTTTGTAAAAAAGTTACTATTTTAAATCCTCCCAGTGAGCAGAATAAGTGTTAGATTTTCAAAAAAAATTATATCAAATGAAAGGGAAATATCTAAGGTTTCAATACAAAAAAATATTATTTTTATTTGTTCATTTTTGAAAAAGTTATGGCAGTTTTAAGTACAAAAAACATCCCGATAAAATGTAATTTTTATCGCAAACATTACATTTTTTTTTAAATTTTCGACAGCCATTTGCACATAGAAGATAAGATGTCGGGACAAATTTTTTTTTTTCATTTGATAGTATATAACATAACCTTTGATTTGATATATGTTTAAAGGACGCAGTATTTCCGGAACATTTTCAAAAGTTCAGTTGAAAAAGATCTATGTTTTTTACAATATTTTAAGTTTTGAACGCCCCCTATATAAGGGGAAATTGTCCAATTTTAATAAAAAGTATGTCAAATGAAAGATGTACTTATAATGTATTTAGAAAAAAAAAATTTGTGCTGATATATACATTTTTCAAAAAGTTATAGCATTTTTAAGTTGAAAATTTAAAATCGAAAATCGAAAATTTTAACACAAAAATAGTGTTTTTTTAACTACGGCAGCCGTTTAAATGTAGAAAAAAAAGTGTCGGGACAAATTTTTTTTTTTCATTTTGTAGTACATAAAATAAGCTTTAATTTGATATATGTTTAAAGGACGCAGTCTTTCCGGAACATTTTCAAAAATTAAGTTGAAAAAATTAATTTTTGTAAAAAAGTTGCCATTTTAAATCCCCCCCAATGAGCAGGTTAAGTGATAGATTTTCAAAAAAATGATATCAAATGAAAGGTAAATATCTAAGGTTTTAGTATAAAAAAAAATTATGTTGATTTGTTGATTTTTCAAAAAGTTATGGAAGTTTTAAGAAAAAAAAGTGAAAAAATTTCGAAAATTAGCGATTTTTAAATTTGTAATTTTTTTGGATATTTCCCCCATTTGCGGGGAACGAGGGAATTTTTTTCAATTTTTAAGGGTAATGTCTTCAACTAGATACGATTTGTGATCTTTTGACGTATTTTTGAAAGAAATCGGTCCAGTGAGAGCTGAGAAAAAGTGGCAACAGACATAAAAAAAAAAAAAAAAAAAAAAAAAAAAAACACATCATAGTAAAATTAATACCTTCTCCGCTTCGCATCGAAGCTAAAAAAAAATTTCTATTAAAATAGTTTAAAAATACAAAAATTATCAAAAAATTACATTGAAATGATTATTTTCAAAAATAAATATTCGTTGTATTATTCAATAAGTATATTTTGTTTTGTTCAATATTATTCAAATAATAGCAATAATTTATTTTAACTACTCTTTTTTAAATTAATGTCATTTTTTAAACAATTTAGATCGATGTTGAACCAAAATCATTAAAAACTGTTTGCAATGAACTTAAAGAAATATCTAACCAGGTAATAACTAAATACTCATCATTAGAAGATAATGAAGATTATGAAGATTATTTACACATTGCAAAAAATAATACAGATCACACGATAGTTAGAGCTATGATTCTGAATGAATATGAATCAGTCAAATTTGTTGTGAATTATTGTAAAGGTAAGAGTCAAATTACATTTTCATAAAAAAATTAATTTAATATATAAACTGAATCAAAATTATAATTGTTCAATTAAAAAATTGTTCTTTAATGTATTTAGAGAAATTATATAAAATATAATTTCTCTAATTAAGCAGATTTTACTTAATTTTCAAATATTTAAATAAATATTATATAAAATATTTATTATTATGTTTTCAGAACTAGGAGATAAACTAGACGTGATAGATTATACTACTCAATTGTTGTTTATAATAGTAGAAAAAGACTATACAAAATCGAGTTTGATGTGTTTTTTAACGAATAATCAAATATTGAAGAAAATATTTGAGTATTATTCTAATGATTCAAATTCCATCTCAAAGTCAGTATTTTTAGACTTTTTGAAAAATGAAAAACTGCTGGACGAAAAGGATAAATCATACCATAATATAGTTGACCAATTAAATTTACAAAGTAATTATTTAAGCATTTTTAAAACTATTTAAAAGAGAAAAATTTGAATATTATTACATATAAGATAATGATATGTGAAATAGTATAAAATTGTATAATTGTATAACATAATATTAATATTATGTTTCAATCCATACATCATATGAGTAGTAATACCAAAAAGGTTTATTGCTAAGTGGTTTAAAAATCATTTACCGACTTCGCAATAAAAATAATTATCTCGAAATTATACATTATGATATGATTTTGTAGACCACTATTAAATAAAATTTATTTTCAGGTTTTTCTATATTGATGGAACCACATTTGCCAAAATATTTAAAAAGTCTGAAAGTACAGCAATGTACATTAAAAGAATATTTAAATATGTTACAATAAGAATGTGTTCACTTACCAAAAATTTGTGTATTGTATTCTAAAATCATAAAATATATTACTGAATAATAATAATATTACACATCATAAAAACTAATTTTCAAATAAATTCTAATATTATTTAATGTAATAGTAAAGATTATAAGTTTGTCTCTAATATTACACTATAAAAAGTTTTGAAAATATTAATACAATTATATTTTTACTTATTATAATGTTTTGTAAAAATAATTTTATTTAGTATAAATCCATCTTATAGGTAGATCGCAGATTCCGATAGTAGTATTCGGTCATGCAGGGCGCGATAAGTTTTTAACACGCTTATATTAGTTTCACTTGTATGTCGGTTGATGTTGTTTGTAACTTTCCACGCGCACGTGTCTACGGCCTTGAAACTAGACGGTCGGGATTACAAATACAGGTAGCTAATTGGATTTTTATGATATTGCTATCACAGTCACGGATTGTTTATTATAAATTATGACTATCAATAGATATACTTTTTGTATTATCAGTTAGTGTATTTATAAACTCACAACATTATGCCTTACTACCATTGATAATAACAATTCTGTGTACCTGCGATTATTGATGGCATAAAAAATCAGTTAGCTACTTGTATTTGTAATACCTTGTGTATTATANTGCCATACGCCTTACGTATAATATTTATATATTCCTACCGCCCTGCCGCCGTTTATACCTCAGGTATAACGTTCCCCGCCCCTCCCGCCAACAAAACACGGCTATACCTAGTGCATGATACGTTTACGTACTTAAGTCAGAATATATTATATAATATATATCACGTACAGAATAATAAACATCACTTAAAATTCGCCTTGACTATTATTTCCTTACTTTAATCAGATATTTTTATTATTTATACACAGTTAAAGTTATTAATGTATGATGTATAATATTATATTATAATAGATACAATAATAATCGTTCAGTTATGTATCAGAATATATTTGACTATATACAGGTGATTTTTTTATCATAACCCATTCAATTACTTACAAAATAATTATATTTAAACATTTTTTTTTTTTGGTTATTTTTAGTTACACACTATTTTTGAATTATTAACTATGTAATACTTTTTAAGTTCATCCCTTATGCCTGGTAAGGGTGTCAACTTTGTTTTTTTAAATGGTAACACATATTTTTAATTTAATAAAATGTTTGAGTTTTTAATTTAATAGTAAATGGCATTTGAATTTTTAATATAACTT